GCCCAGATTGGAGAGCAGTGGCCGATCCCGGCCACCGCAGCCTCGACCTGCTGGGCTCCGGCGATCCTTCTGCTTCAGCCTTCCAAATAGCTGGAACTATAGGAGCGCACTACCACACCTGGCTAATTTTTAATTTATTGTAGAGATGAGGTCTCACCAAGTTGCCCAGGCGGGTCTCGAGCCCGCGGGCTCAGGCAATTCACTCACCTCGGCCTCCCAAAGCGCTGGGATTACAGGCTGAGTCACTGAGCCCGGCCAGATTGTTTATTTTTAATAACATTCTGTTCTTGTTTCATGGGCAATTTTTTTTTTTATTTGACAGGATTATGAGAATTACCTAACAATAATTCCTATACTTCATTACCAATTTTCTTGGTTAGTGTTGTGTTATCAACAAAATCATCTAAACAAGAGAGAAATTTTAAAGGCACTAGACTCTTACAAGCCTATCAAAAACATGAAGTTCTTTACAACACATTAAAGAGATGTGCTGTCTTCAGCACATTTATAGAATGTTTGTGATTGATGTGTTATCTCTGCAAGCCATTCCCGAGATTAGCATAGGAAGTTCTCTCTAACCAGCTTTACCAGGAACCTGGTGGTAGTTGGATTCACAGAAGCAATGCTTGTAAAAGGTAAGAGATTTTGTCTAATTATAGTATTATGACAGCTGGTTGGTCTAAGATCTTTTCTTGTTCAAAAGCTTATCTTCAGTTAAACAAGATGAATAAGCTCTAATGATCTGCTGTACAACATTGTACTTACAGTCAATAATACTATATTGCCTACTTAAACATTTGTTAAGAAGGTTAACTGGTTAAGTGCTCTCACCACAATTAAATAAAATTTAAAAAGCTGACGTTCTGGCAGTGGTAAACAGCCTTCTTTTAAAAAAAAATCAGAGTCTCACTCTGTCGCTCAGGCTGGAGTGCAGTGGCACGCTCACAGCTACCACAGCCTCAACCTGCCGGGCAAAGGCGATCCTTCTGCCTCAGCCTTCCAAGTAGCTGGAACCACAGGCACGTGCCACCGCACCTGTGAATTTTTTGATTCATTGTAAAGACCAGGTCTCACCAAGTTGCCCAGGCTGATCTCAAACACCTGGGCTCGGGTAATCCCCTCACCTCCGCCTCCAAAAGTGCTGGGATTGCAAGCCTGAGCCACTGCGCCCGGCTAAAAGCCCTCTTAATTCACACAATTCCTACTTTTGGGAGACCAGAGCACATTGACTATGTCAGCTGAAGAATGATGAGGTTCAGAAATTTGGAAGGGAGAAGTTTTATTTCTCATAAAGTGTTGCAGCCTGCAGAGTGGCCATTTTGACAGGCTGGAAACCTAGCTTCCCGCCAGAAGTCAGAAACAAATTCTTTGAGGGTGGGGCAAAGGAAACAGGAATTTATCCTGAGAGGTGGTTGGATATACATTTCTTTTTTTCTTTGAGTCAGAGTCTCATTCTGTTGCCCAGGCTGGTGTGCAGTGTCATGCTGACAGCCAATGCAGCCTCGACCCGCTGGGTTCAGGTGATCTTTCCACCTCAGCCTTCCAAGTAGCTGGAACTAGGCGTGTGCCTCCAAGCCTGGTTAATTTTTTGATTTATTGTAGAGACGAGCTCTCACCAAGTTGCCCAGATTTTTCTTGAACCCCTGGGCTCAGGCAATCCTCTTGCCTCGGCCTCCCAAAGTTTGTGATTGCAGGCGTGAGGCACTGCGCTCTGCCGAATATACATAAACAATAAGCTATAGAATGAGTCATCAATATTTATGAAAGGAGAGACATGTGCATGTGCAGTAAAGGTTCATGCCCCTTCATGAGTTCCATGTGCAAAAATGACTATGTTAGCATGAACCAAGGATGGAGCTTTTGGCCTTCTTACATCAAAAGATGAAACAGGACATGAAAATTTTTACTGTGCATCCTCTGTGATTGGTTGTCTCTTTTCAGGCAAAAGCGGGGGAGCGGCATCAGGTGGTTGGTTGGTTGATATCAGCCATGGAGTTTTGAAAGGACGGGTTTCTGTTTAGGGAAAGAAACACTAATGGCAGTTCTCCAAGAGGAAATATAAGGAAGTGGATCTGATCTCATCCCATTCTTTCATAGCTGAGAACTCAGTTCTCAAGGTTTATCTGGGATCACCTTGGCCAAGAGGGGGTCTTTTCAGTCGATTGGAGGCTTAGAATTTTATTTTTATTTCTCAATTAGGGCAGAGAAAGTCATTTTATTTCTACTGTTGCCCAGGAATTATGCCAAATGTCTGCAGATTCGTGTAAGTCTTGGTCCTCTGGACAAGTAGAGTGAATGAATCAAACTCTAAAAGATGACTTGACCAAGATTTAGCAATCTATCAGATGAAAATGACCTAAAGCTATACTACTAGCCTTATTGCTAGAGTAGCCCCTGCAAGCAAACACAATATCTCTTTCTTTGAACTTATGCTTGGCAGGTCTGTGAATTTGGGTCTGAGACCATGTTCTGTGCCCAATTTAACTGAATCATCTCATAATCATGGTCAATACTTAAAAGGGCTTCTCTCTTCCCTAGAAATCCTGAGACTCAAAGTCATAAGGAACCCCCCTGAGGAAGTCTGCCACCCATGTTGAATAGAAGACTACATAAAGGTATTTCAGAGGAAAGACAGGCTGTCGCTGAGTAGGGAGGGGCCTTTTCAAGTGCTGTTCATCACTCATACAGCTATCAAAGTAAATGAGAACCATAACTCGATTCAAGTTTTCTCTGTGAAGCCAGCACTGTAGGAGGACTAGGCAGTTGTTCCCACAAAGAACTTTTCTAGAGTAATGGATATTGATACTGAACTCAACGAAAAGAGGTATTCTAGAAAATGATTGCTATTCTCATAGTACTACTCAGGCAGTGGTTATCCTAATTACTTTAAGAATCACATTTATTAGAAAGCAACTTTGTTACACTACTTTTTCTTTCTACACGCCCAGTAAGGGTTTCCACAACGTGTGCGGATATGCTGTGGATTATTGGCAGAGTACAAATGAGACCATCTTCATCAGTAATTTTTAATAATAATAAAGTGAAAATAATTAGTATGGATTCAGGTCCTCAAGTTCTAAATATAACACAAGAACATTTTGTTAGCTGGTTTAATTGGAATGATGACATAGAAAAGAAAAACATCTAATCAACTGATGAACAGAAATCTAGTACCTACAAACAGAAACTACAGAAGACAGGTCTGATGTCACTACTAACATTGAGGCAAGTTTTCTCTAGTATAGGTGGATAAGCAAAGGTGGATGTCTGTTATTTATAAAGATTTAGTTGATTGTTAAAATAGTAAAATGACCTACTTAGATCAATGAGAAAAATGGCCCATACATTTTTTTTTTCCTCAAGACATAAAATATTAGAGTTATGAGCCGGGCTCGGTGGCTCAGCCTGTAATCCCGCGCCTTTGGGAGGCTGAGGTGAGTGGATTGCCTGAGCCCGCGGGTTCGAGACCCGCCTGGGCAGCGAGACCTCATCTCTACAATAAATAAAAAAATCAGCCAGGCGTGGTAGCACATGCCTGTAATTCCGGCTACTCAGAAGGCTGAGGCGGAAGGATCGCTGGAGCCCAGCGGGTCGAGGCTGCGGTGGCCGGGAGCGGCCACTGCACTCTAGTCTGGGCGACAGAGTGAGACTCCAACTCGAAAAAAAAAAAAATTAGAGTTATGGAGAGTTATGGGCCAGATATGGTGGCTCATTCCTGTAATTTCAGTACTTTGGGAGGTCGAGGCAGAGGATTGCTGGAGCTCAGGAGTTTGAGACCAACCTAGGCAACATAGTGAGACTTCATTAGTACAAAATAAAAAAAGATAGCTGGGCATGGTGGCACACGCCTATAGTCACAGCTACTTGGGAGGATGAGGCAAAAGGGTCACTTGAACCCAGGAGGTCGAGGCTATAGTGAGTGTGACTGTGCCACTGTACTCCAGCCTAGGCAAAATTATTTAGAAAGATAGAACAATTACTGAAAGGCTTGAATTGCTACATAAATGCGGTATTACTTATGTAATTGATGGAAACTTGGGAGAAATTTATTGGGCCATTAAAGAAAAATTCTTAATTAAAATTTGAAATTCGCAGGCTCCTGATTTAGGGAACTCTATGAGCTTGGATTGAGCAAGAGTTTATAAGAGACTATAATGCTCCATATTTAATTATTTGAAAGTGCAAGCAATAAAGACATCATAACAATTTGTAAAATTAATGTATGACTAAAAATTTCTTTTTGCTGTTGCTAATCAAGACTCTGAGGCTTATGCCATCTTTCCAGTCTCAGTTTGGATAGACATGGAGATGCTTCTGGAAGAACATCACAATGGCTACCCAAGGAGAGCCCCAAGTCCAGTATAAACTTGTATTGGCTGGTGATGGTGATACTTGGAAAAACTATATCCATGAAACATTTGACTGGTAAATTTGAGACATAGTCACTTTGAGTATTCAGGTTCACCATCTTGTATTCTAAATCAACAGAAAACCTATTAAGTTCAATGTATGGAATACAGCCAACCAGGAGAATTTGGTGAGTTGAGAGATGGCTAGTATGCTATCCAAACACTCAGTGTGCCATTATTATATCTGATGTAACATTGAGAGTTACTTACTAGAATGTGCCTTACTGGTACAGATATCTGGAATGAGTATGTGAAAACATTCCCATCACATTGTGTGGCAGCAAAGTAGATATTAAGGGCAGAAAAGTGTAGGCAAAATTAATTTTCTTCCACTCAAAGAGGAATCTTCGGTACTATGCTATTTCTGCCCAAACTGCAGCTCTGAAAAGTCCTTCTTCTGGCTTTCTAGAAAGCTCACTGGAGACCCTAACCTGGAATTTGTTGCTATGCCTGCTCTTGCCTCACCAGAGGTTATCATGGACTCTGCTTTGGCAGCACAGTATAAGCATGATTTAGAGATTGCTCAAACAACTGCTCTTCCGGAAGAGGATTATGACCTATGAGAATGAAGCTGGAGCCCAGCATCAGAAGTCTAGTTTTTTATACACAGCTGTCGTGTGATGTCAGTGGTACAGTGTGTGTGCCACTTTATTATCTAGCTAAGCGGAACATGTGCTTCATCTGTGGGGTGCTAAAGGAGATGAATGGGCTTTGGAGTGAATGTAGCAGTTTACAAACTACCTTCATTGTTTGGACTTGCATATTTAGCTGTTTTGGAATGCAGTTGTTGCCTTCTTGAGTTTCAAACACGAGATTGCTACAGTCACATCACGATATTCATTGGTGAAGTCTTGTTTGTTACTGTGATTCCCATTCCTTTTTGTTTAGAATAAATTGTGTTTCAAATATCTAAAAGAAATTCAGTTTAGCTGTTTGCCATTGGTATGATATATTCAAAGTTTGTTTCTCTAAGACAGATAAAGTACTGATTTTCTAAAAATCTAGTAATTCTGTTGTTCTGTTGAACTTCTGATCATTTCTTTGCTTTGTATTTTCCTATGAATTTGCAGGATTTAGATGGCTACAACTCCCCCCAGAGAAAGGAAAAAATAGAGATAACTCAAAATTTTAAAATATTATTATTTTATAGCAACACAGTATTTTATAGTAACACAGGCAGGAGATTTTAAGGACAGATACAAATTAAAAATAAAAGGCTTAATTCTCCCTGTTGAAAATAAGTTATGAGCCAGGCATAGTGGCTCATGACTGTAATTCCATCACTTTGGAAGGCCAAATAAGGAGTATTGCTTGAGACCAGAAATTGAGACCAGCCTGGGCAACAGAGTGAGACACCCCATTTCCACAAAAACAAAAAATAAAATAAAAAAGAGATAAGGAAATAAGGTAAGAAGTTCCCCTCTTCTCCTTTTTCTCAGAACATTTACTTTAGAGAATGGACAATTGTAAGTACTTTCTCCTCTTTTTCAAATGCATATAAATCCTTTTGAAGACTAGATAGGACTTTTGCTAGCTTTATGACCCAGAAATGTCTTTCTCAGAAATGGACCTGGGAGCCATCTCTTTGAAATGTAAACATCAAGGGAAAAAGTATTCTTATTTCCCAGTTTCTGTGGGAGCCTAACTTTGGAGGGCACCTTGCTCCAAGTTGCAAAACTATCTCCTGCCATAAAGATATGAGAGGTTTATTTTTTCTCTGGATAAAGCCAATTAGCTAATACAACGGTAATAGTAACCTGGTGTCTTAATGTGTTTGTGCTGCTATAACAAATTATCACAGACTGGGCAATTTATAAACAATAGAAACTTATTCTTCATGGTTCCAGAGACTTGGAAGTCCAAGTTCAAGGCACTGGTAGGTTTGGTGTCTGGTGGAGAGTTTGGTCTTCATTTCCAAGATAGCACCTTGTTGCTGCATCCTCTGTTTTGCTGTTAACCCAGCAAGACCCATCTTGGGCTTCTGACCTACAGAACTGTAAGATAATAAGTATGTTTTGCTTGAAACCACTAAAATTGTAGCAATTTGTTACTGCATCAGTAGAAAACTAATAGAACAAGGCAGTTCCCAATAGCTAAGAACAATTCTATAAAGAAGGTTGCAGTTGTAAGCTGTCAGCAGCAGCATTCCCAGGAGCTGAAGGATGAGAGCACAAGTCTGTAAAGGGGTAGCAGTGTCTACTGCAGAAAATCTGCCTAATTCTGGGATGCAATATAAGGAAGACTATTGTTTATGTTTTTAGTTGTTTGGGGCTTTGTTTTTGTTTGAGATCTTTTTTAGGAAGATATTCCTTACTCCAAGGGCAAAAGCATATCCCCTTACATTTTATTCTAATATATTTTTAGTTGGGTTTATCCAAATACAGATTTATTTATTTATTTATTTGTTTATTTATTTATTTATTTATTTAGTAGGGGTCTCACTTTGTAATCCAGGCTGGAGCACAGTGGCACAATCATGACTCACCACGACCTCAACCTCCTGGGCTCAGGCAATCTTCCTGCCTCAGCCTCCCAAGTAGCTGGGACTGCAGGCACATATACAGGTTTAATACATCTCTTCTGAAATGTATTTATTTGCATTTTTGTGGTGTGAGGTAGCGATTTGCTTCTTTTCAGATGGATAGCCAATTGCCTTAACCTCATTTATTGAGGATTCTAGCTTTCCCTATTGATTTGAAACACCATGTCTATCATAAACTGAATTTCCTACATATGCATGAGTTAGGTTCTGGTCTGTACTGATTTGGTATCCTAATCTTAAATCAATACTACGTTTATTTAAATATTGTAGCCTCATAGTATGACTTGGTATCTTGTGAGTAAAATCCCTACTTTATTTTTAAAAATAAAAATTGGCCAGGCTCAGTGGTTCAGCCTGTAATCTCAGCACTTTGGGAGACCGAGGCAACTGGATTGTCTGAGCCCGCAGGTTTGAGACCCACCCGGGCAACTTGGCGAGACCTCGTCTCTACAATAAATAAAAAATTAGCTGGGCATGGTGGCACGCACCTGTAGTTCCAGCTACTTGGAAGGCTGAGGCACAAGGATCTCTGGAGCCCAGCGAGTCGAGGTTGCAGTGGCCGGGATCGTGCCACTGCACTCCAGCCTGGGCGCCAGAGTGAGACTCCAACTAAAAAATAAATAAATAAATAAATAAATAAATAAAATTTGCCTTGCTATTTGGGGGGTGTGGTGATGTTGACTCCACCTCTTCTTCTTTTTAAAAAAATGTGTAATAGCTTTATTGAGATATAATTCACATACCACATAATTCACCCATTTAAAGTGTATACCTGGCCAGGTTCGGTGGCTCAGCCTGTAATCCCGCGCTTTGGGAGGCCGAGGTGAGTAGATTGCCTGAGCCCATGGGTTCGAGATCCGCCTGGGCAACTTGGCGAGACCTCATCTCTACAATAAATCAAAAATTAGCCGGGCGTGGTAGCGCGCGCCTGTAGTTCCAGCTACTGGGAAGACTGAGGCGGAAGGATCGCCGAAACCCAGCAGGTCGAGGCTGTGGTGGCCGGGAGCGGCCACTGCACTCCAGTCTGGGAGACAGAGTGAGACTCCAACTCAAAAACAAAAAGTGTATACCTTAGGGTTTTTAGTATCGTCATAGACATGTGCTACAATTATTGCAATCAATTTTAAAAGTCCTGTATCTAATAACATCCTAAAAAGAAAGTTTATATCCAATGACATTCACCATTCCCCATTCTCCCCTTTCCCTGAACCCTGAAAACCACTAATCTACTTTCTGTATTTATGGATTTGGCTGTTCTGGACATTAAATAAAACCAGAGTCATATAGTACATGATCTTTTGTGTCTACTTTCTTAGCATAATGTTGTTGTTTTCTTTTCTTTTTCTTTCTTTCTTTCTTTTTTTTTTTTGAGCTGTAGTCTCACTCTGTCGTCTAGGCCGGAGTGCGGAGGCACGCTCACATCAGCCTCGACCTGCTGGGCTCAGGCTATCCTTTCACCTCAGCCTTCCAAATAGCTGGAACTATAGGTATGTGTCACTATGACTGGCTAATTTTTTGGTTTATCGTAGAGATGCGGTCTCACCAAGTTGCCTAGGCTGGTCTTGAACCCGTGAACTCAGGAAATCCTCTCACCTTGGCCTCCCAAAGTGCTGGAATTATAAGCGTGAGCCACTGCACCTGACCAACATAATGTTTTCAAGGTTCATCCATGATGTAGTATATATCAGTCCTTCATTCATTTTTATGACTGCATAATATTCTATTGTAATATTTTATTTATCTATTCATTAGGTAATGGACATTTGGGTTGTTTCTACTTTGTAGCTATTATGAATAATGCTACTATAAATATTCATGCACAGGTTTTTATGTGTACACAGGATTTCATTTCTCTTGAGTATTCCTAGGAGTGGAATTGCTGGGTCATGTGGCAAATGAATGTTTAACCTTTTGAGGAACTGCCAGTGATCTAGTTCAATCATACCCATTTACTAGATGAGGAGACGTGGACAAAAAGGTGAAATCAGAGACAAACTGTAGTCAATTTAACACACTATTTTTTTGCTGGAGTTCTCATATATTTAAAAACAATATGTTTTAAAATGTATAGCTTGCCTTACTGACAGTTAAATCTCTCCAAAGATAGAGGAAGGGACATTGTCCCAATGCTGATGAATAGAATGGAACTGCTTGAAGGGTCAGAAACCCTGGGAGAAGCGATCATGTCTTAGAGTTTATGATAGTCAAAGAAGTACACTTTACTGGGTAAAGTGGTGTACTTCAGTTTTAGGAAAAAAATGTAGGATGTTGAAAAAATTTGTAAACACATTACTTTGGCCTTGGTCTGGTATTCTGAAAAAAAAAAATGGCTTGAGAAGATGACAGATTCTCAAAAACTACAGTTTGCTCAGGAAATATTTACTCTTTACTTGCTTTGTGCTCTGATAAACTTCAGTGATACAATGGTGAATATGAAAGAGATGATTCCTGCCTTCTTTTTTATTTTATTTTTAGAGACAGAGTTTCACTTTGTCACCCAGTACAGTGGCACAATCAGAGCTCATTGCAGCTTTGAACTCCTGGGATCAAGTGCTCCTGCCTCAGCCTCCCAAGTAACTGGGACCACAGATGCATGCTACCACATCTGGCTATTTTTTTTTTTTTTGTAAGGACAGAGTCTTGCTATGTTGCTTAGGCTGGTCTCAAACTCTTGGCCTCAAGTGATCCTCCTGCCTTGGCCTCCCAAAGTGCAGGGATTATAGGCATGAGCCACTGCATCCGCCCTGCCTTCTTTGAACTTTATATGGACTATGTCTTTGTGCAATAGGCAACTTAACACATAGCAATACTATCCTCAAAAAAATAATTGTTGAAAGCATAGTTGACGCCCATTGAAAGTTCACCTCTCTTTTTATTATTACAAACTCCCTAAGGCTTGGAAAGATATCTGTCTTGTTTACAGCTACAAGACAAGACATCTGTCTTGTATCTCCAATATCTAGAACTGTATTTTAAAATAATGATTGTCACTTGTGATTATTGATCACTTGCAGTATGGCTAGTTCAACATGAGATGTGCTGTAAGTATAAAATGCTCATTGGATTCCAAAGACTTGTACAAAAACAAAGGATATAAAACATCTTAACAGTTTTTTTATATTGGTTACATGTTGCAATGACAATATTTTGGATATATTTGGTTAAATATATCAAAATTAATTTCTATTTTTTCTTATTTGCTTTTAATGTGGTTAGAAAATGTAAAATAACAAATTACATATTTGGCTTGTTTCTGTTGAATTGTTCCTGCCTAAAGTCATGCATTGCACAATAAAAATGTGTTTATGGCCAGGCATGGTGGCTCACATCTGTAATCCCAGCTCTTTTGGAGGAAGAGATGAGAGGATTGC